TATGAGTATGGGTGAGTTCCCTTGTTAACCACACATACATCCACATCATTTTCTCGAACAAGGTGCATCGATTTTATTTTTATGCAAAAATTTGGAATCAAATCAGAATCCAATACATTAGCAATAATACCAATCAATTGTAGTCGTTTAAGTCAGTCATTATTCTATCTATTTAATAGATGCTATTGATGAAGAATTGATCCATATACATAAAATGACGAGTCTTATTGAAATTTAAGAAAAGAACCGAAGTATTTATTATGTTAAAATTGAACAGGTTGCGATGATTGAATTTCTTATCTAAAGTTCTAAAAACTTAGTAGCGTTTCTGGGTCCATAACACTGAAACAAATGTGTATATAAAAGAAACATTATCCATGTGAAAAATAAATTTAAATCTTCTTCTTATTTTCAATATTTAAAAGGTATTTATGTTCATCATAAACCAAGCGAATTTCTCGTTGTATATTAAAACATTTTTTTTTATACGAAAATCTTTATGTAAAAAAGAAAACTACAAAACAAAAAACAACATGAAAATTCAAGAAAAGTTAATCATAGAAAAAGTAAAACTACAATAATCTAAACAGGGATAATAATTAAAAGTGAAGATATTGTTAATAATAAAAATGTTGAATGCATTTATTCTATATTCATAGAAACTTTATTGTCATGTTCATCTATTTTCTTCAACACACAATTTTGTCATCGAACATGTAACAGTATCACTTTCAAGTTGAATTGCTGTTGGATCTACATCACAGTCATCGAAATCTGATTGAAGCCAGTCTAACATTTCTGTTTTAAGTACAGATGCTGCTGTTGTTGTTAATTGACTTTCATTTGAATTTATTATTATATCAGCTGTTGTTGTTGTTGGTGGTGATGGTGATGGTGGTGGTGGTAGTGGTGGTAATGTATCATCTTCATTATGGTCAAAATCTTCATGATGTTGTGCATGAATTTTATAATGATTTTTCATACGATATGCTGACGGAATGTATTGATTACATATTTTACATATACGCTTTTTTATTTCTTTTTTTACTGATGAACAACAATAATCAAATGGTAACATGTCATTCTGAAAGAAAAAAAAAAACCGTTTTGTTTTTATTAATATGAAATGAGTGATAAGAATAAATCACGGGCATGGTTGTTATTATTAGATATTAATGACATCAGTCTCGTTCATGTGCACTGAAAATCGAAATTGAAACAATATTCATGATTTGTTTTTGTCAAAAAACATGAGATACAAGGACTACGAGCAAGTGTCAGCAGGAAAACATCGGAAATTGCTTGTATTCTCATTCTTAGATACTCAATTAGACATAAATAGGATCATTTATTTCGATTGAACTGAAATCATTCTGGCCATCATTAGAAGCAGAATAAAGTTACAAATTTTATTGTATATCTATGTTCGAATCACAACTAGCTATGAATCGAATGATGTCGTTATCAATAGATATTGGTGATATACCAAATAAATAGTTTTTTTTTGTCGTTTCTTCTATATTGGAGTAACGAAACGAAGAGCAAACTACTTATCGATTGGAAAAATTGAATAAGTTCCTTCTACTTAAACTGTTAGATCTTATTTCTATCATGATTTTGTTTTTTTTTTCTTTTGTTAGTCTATATGATGATGATAGCAGGTAGATCTAGTGTTGTTTTTTTAACCTGTGTATGTTGAATAACAATACCATGAAATTGAATTCGTTGAAATAATGATCCATAAAATTGTCCTTTTTGATAATCTTTTTCTGCCATTCTAATACCATATGCTGTACGTTCAAATGGTACAGGTGATGGTAAAAATCGATGAGGAAATACTCGAACATAATTTGAACGCCATGGACCACAACATTCAATTGAATTACAACGAACAATTTGTAAAGTATATTGTGTTTGTAAAACATGCATAGCACACCAATATTCATCAATATCATATTTTGGTTGTTCACCTGTGTTTTCTCTTGGCATACGAGCATTTTCTTGATAATATTCATCTGCTGCATGAACACGAAATTCATGTCCTTCTTCTGTTTCTTCTTCAGCACAAATTCTATTTTAAAAACACACAAAACAAAAATATAATTTTAATTAAATAATACAAAAATAAAACTAACTTTCGTAAAAGTTCATCCATAACAATTTTAATATCAGTTTGTCGACGTTGTTCTTCTGATGTCGCTGGTGGATTAATATATTCAGCAAAACATGGAAATCCATCAATAATAGATTTACACCATCTTTCAGCTAACATTTGTCCAGCTTTACGAAAATTTATTTTTTCTAAATCAACATTTATTGTTACACCTGAATCATTTAAATGTGAACCAAAATGATCATGTGGTAATATAAGACCAGCTAAATCATGAGATAATGGAGCCATACGACTTTCAACTATATTATAGGCTGATTGACCAGGACTAAAAAATAAAATAAAAAAATTCAAAAATTTTTTTAATATTAAAATACAAAAAAACCTACGCATGTGTAAGAACAAAAAATGCATCTAGATTATACTTTTTAAATTTTCTAATACTTGAAACAAGTGTTTTTGGAAAACGTGGATTTTCATCAGGACCACCATCAACAGTAACAATAACAATTGGTTTAACTTGTCCAGTTTCATCACGTGCTACTTTTTCAAATTCTTTCAAAGAAACAAGTCGATCAAAATCTGTTGCATGAGAATCAGCAGTTGATAGATCATGTCTAGCTGAACGTACAGCTATATATGTTGGACCTGAATAACCTATATCTCCATCTTGAGATAAAAGACATGCTGCATATACACTTGGTATTAATTGATGTCGAGGTGCAACTACCCAATCATGATCTGGTAAACTTATTCGATAATCCAAATGCATTAATAATGGTGCTTGAACTCTAGCTGCAGGTAAACCTAATGGAACTTTACATTTATCATCTTGAGATAAATAAAAAACACAATCATTGCCAAATATTGAAGCTAAATCTTTCATATAACGTATTGTTGCTGTAGCAAAATGACCATCTTCATGTTTTCCATGATCATCATTTTGAGCACGACGAAGACGAACTGGAGCAGTATTAACATGACGACGACCATCTCTTGATGATGCACGATGAGGTAACAGACTAAATATTTAAAACAAAAAAAAAAAAAGAAAGAAAATTTCATATTAGTATATATTCAAAATCAGATCATTAAAATAAATTATTTGTTTAATCGAAATTTTTTATGATGGACATTTCAAACATTGACAATATTCAATTAGGATAAGAAAAGTAACGAATATGTCAACAATAAAAACTTTTTCTCGTTAACTTTGAACGTTTTCTCTAAATTCTTTTTTTTTCAGAGAAATCCTATTCAAAGAGTTTAACAGCTGGTATGAGAAAGATGTAGTCGGTCTTTTGATAGATATTTTCTTTTTACTGATGGAATTTTTATCATTAAATACAGATGTCCCAAGAATGAAAAAAGTCAATGTAACTCAACGGACGAATAATGGTTGGTAGAGACAGCGATTTCTGTCGTAGTTATCAACTTTCCAATCAAAATAGATAGCATACTTAGTGGAAAATTTTAGCGATTATAATCCATTAAAATTTCAAAATCCTATGGGCACTAATCAAAATTACCACCCTAATTATAATCGGGATTTGATTCCGCAATAGTCATGGCGAAAATTCTCATATAATTGACTTCAGCATGATTTTGATCAATTTTTTATACTGTTGTACTGATTTGTAAACGATAAGATGAAATAGAATTAAATGAAGACCTTTTCCATCCAAAAGAACCACGAAAAAATCGTTTAATGTCAGTTTTTCTCCATTTTTTTACATGGCAATTATCTATTCTTACTCTATGCTACCTGTTAATCAATTCTAATCGTACACATTGAAGATATACGCTTTTCTCGGTATTCGAACATGAAACCCTAATTTGCTTATGAATTTTTTGCGTTACTCGTGTTCCGAGACCATGAAATTGTCACTAAGATAAACTCCGGCAATTAAAGTAAAGTTGGAACTGGCCTATAAATTGTTTCAAACTAAAATAATGCAATTACATCAGAAATCGATTAAGAGATTTTAACCGATCATATTATTATTTAAGCCTGGTTTCACATAAGAATATTCAATAAGTATAGATCTTTTTAATAAAAGATTCTCTCCTCAAATACACTTTGTAAATTTTACTATTTATGAAAGATATTGATTAAAATTAAACAAAATATTTGAATCAATTGCATAAATATTTTCAATTTTTTCTATATAGGACTTCTGTATGTATAAAGCACTTCTATAATTGCTATCCTTCCACATTGCACTCATTTCATGTTTGTCTTCTACTTACGAAAATAATTAGATTTACGTCATTACTAATTTTGAAAATCGATCAGACATGCTCTATGTTTTCGATTAATTCTCAACTGATAAAAATCAAATCACAACTGAGAGAATCGTTAATAATCGATTGAAAATCTATAAATCTTATTTTTATCGATTAACAAGATTAAAATCGATTTTATGATTACAATTAATATAATCCTTAGTAATCAATCTAATTTCGATTGATTCAGATTTCAATCGATTTTTTTCGGTTATTTTTTCAATAGATTTTAAGATTATAGTCGATTTCAATTCGATTATGGTACAAAAATTGGATAATTAAGTTTTATCTACCGGTAATCAAAAATAATCCTGATTTTGATAGCAATATTTTTCTCACTGAATATTCAGAATCAGCACAACAAAAGACGTCAATTTATATATTTATGTTGCAAAGTTTTCTCAATTTTTTGTTTTGAAACTCAAAATTGAAATGAACTCATCATCAAATTTACTTCGAATATATATAGTTATTAAAAGGTTTCAATTTTGTTTACTACAGATTTGAAAACTTATCTAGAAGCAACTACCAATAGGATAGATACAAAAGTTTCTTTCTCTCTCATATCTATCTAGTTTGCTCGTGATCAGTGTTTGAATAGAGAACTAATCGTTCGAGAAATAACACGCGATGCAAAAGTCTTTGATATAAATGTCAAACTCTGTTAGACTATGTTGCTAACTTTTAAATCAATCAAATTTTTTTTTTATTGGAAAGAGCAATGTCTGAACTAGAAATATTCTACCAGACTTTTTTTTCTGAAAGGAATCTATGCAGCAGAAGAAGTTCTTGTAACTTCGCCTTCGTACAATATCGTTTTCTTTATTTTACATCAGAAACAAAATGAAAACGCACGTTTAATGATGATTTTTGTAGTATAAAGAGTGCTCGTTTCAATGGTGTATTAGAAGTTAAATTTAGCCTTGGCTTTTTTTCTGCTAAGTTTTTAAGATCCAAGGTATTTTGAACAAATAACAAACAAAGAATTCCGTTCATACAGAGTTTCTGAAGATCGTGATTGATCTCCTTCCAAATTTATAGTTCTTGAAAAGACTCTATTTTACAAAAAATTTAATTTTCCATTTTTTTTTATCAAAGAGTCAAGAATTGATATCGATAGAATTTTTGATGTGCTACATAGTGGTCTATTTTCTGTTAGAATTCGATCCATCTAGCTTAAAATAATTGAGAAATAGAACTTTTTTTTAGAGGTGTTCAGTTTTTGACTTCTTATGTTTTATAGATTCGTTCCAGAAACAAAAGTCTGATAGAAAATTTGTAGTTTAGACATTTGTCTTTTCAATGGAAAAAAATAATTGTTTGATTTAGAAATTAGCAATATGATGTAACAGAGTTTGACATTTGTCCCAAGACTTTTGCATCGCATATTATTTCTGAACATTGCTCAACACTGTAAAGATAAAAAAAAAAGAATGTTCTCCTACAGTGTGTAACAAAATGTATCATCTTCATCTATCCTTTTTTTTTCTCTATTCACCTTGTAACCGTTCTCTTCTTGTGTGTGACCGTTACGCTTGATTACCATTCATTATCGATGCGTATGTTTTGTATGTGAACGGGACCATTTATTATGGGATGAAGCTAAATAAAACGATTATCACTGTGTGATGAACACTTCTCTCCTTAAGTTCATCACACAGTGAAAATTCATTCAATAGACAATTCTATTCTTGTTTACACATATATTCTCCCGATTTTCTTAATTCAAACGAAAAGCGAACATTTTACATATTTACATCTAACTGTCATATTTACAAACATGAAGTGAAACAAGTTTTCTTGATTCAGATTAAAAACAAAAGTTAAAGATCTTGTAGTAGAAATCGATTTAGCAAAAAAATATCATATCAAAGAGTGTCTATGAATTTGAAAAAAAAGTTTTTCTACTAAACTACAATCGATTTTCTCTCTAATGGATATTCAAGTCGACATGAACAAGATGAGTTTATTGTCAAAGTTTTGATTTTTATGAAAAGCTCATTGTTTTGTTTTTTGGTTTAAAATCGAGACTAATTTTCTTGTATAAAAATATGTTCAAGATAAATAATTGTATAAGATGATATTCGAAAACTGATGATACAATTAGTAAAAGATACTCTTTTATATGAATTTAATTATTTACCGATAATAAAGTGTTGTTCGTTTAATATCATAACCTCTTTGTTTAAGTTTGTCTCTTAAATCATCTAATGTTAAACAAGGTCGAATAGTTGATGATCGTCTTCGATCATCACTTGCTCCACCAACTTTTGCAATTTCTTCAATTACTTGTAATAAATCAGGACATTGTTCTTCAATACGTGGTCGACCACCACCAGGACGATAAAGTTTTTTTAATTGTGGATGTAATTCAGGTTTTGTTTCATATAAATGTTCAACCTACAAATAATCAAACTTAAAAAAGATTAAAGAAAAAAAAATATTAATACAATTTTTCGTCGTTTAACTCTATATCTATTTGAAGCTTTTGTTTTCAATTGAAGACGTCTTAATGCATAAGCCTTCGTTCTTCTATCTTTCATTAATTGTTGTAATTGTTGTCTATTTTCTGGTGTTAATAAACCCATTTGTTTAACTTGTATTAATGAAGCAATTCGATCATTAATTGCACTTAATTCTTTAAAAACACGTTCTTGTGCTGGTTGTCTTATTTGTGTTGATAATGGTTCTAATGGAATACCACGTACAGATGATAATTTTTTCAGATCTTTCAATAATTCTTCATCAGCTAATTTACGTTTATTATTATTATTATTATTATTATTATTATTTGTTTGTTTTTTTTTCTTTTTATTTTCTTGATCATCTTCATCATAATCAAAATCATCATAATCATCTTGTTCATCTTTATTTTTACCAAAATCATCACAATCATTCGATTCTTCATCATCGTTTTTATTATCATTATTATCTTGATTTGTTGTATCATTTGATTGCTCTCTGTTTAATAGTCGACTACGATTAACTTTTGGTTGATATTCAAAAGTTTGATTAGAAGATCCAACAAATTCATTATATATTTCTAAATATTCTTCAATTTTTTCTTTAACATATTCTTCATTACATTTTATTTCATTCCATTCAACTTGAGCACCACGATGTTTTACCTATTTGAAAAAGAAAATCTGATTATTTATTTTCATCCAAAAAAAAAAAAATAAATTTACAGCTTGTTTTTCATCAGGTCGAGCTTTCATATAAGCATCAATAAATGTTTTATAAAGACTTGGACCTTGAACTTTTTGAATTCGTTTCGTAGGCATGATGAGATATGTCGATCAATTAAAAGAGCACAAATAATGACGCTCAACACCAACAATATATATATATAAAAGAGAAAGAAAATGAACAAAACAAAAAAAAAAAAAAACTACGCCAAGTAGTAGAAGAAACGCATCGATGACCTCTCTTTCTTTCTCTATCGCTTATACATAGTAACAAGATCGAGCAACTGATAGTTATTCTTTTTATCGAAGCTAGTAACGATAACCACATCACGTCTATTTAATACAAAAGGGCACAAAACAAAAATCAAACTATATATGAATGGTTCAAATCATGACAATATACAACTCGTTACCAATCTTACTAACATTTAAAGCCCGTTGGGTTGGTCCTAGATTCGATTGGATCCGAATCTAATCCAACATCTGCTACTCTAAAAGTAAAAGTCCGTTATGATGATATTCTTATACGATCATCGTCAAGATGTCGTGAAAATGTGTAGGGCGTGCTAGTTACTAAATCTAAATAAGCGAAAAAAGTATCTCATATCTTCGCAGCGATTAACAAAACGGATTTGAAAATTTTATTGAGAATATTATGAGTTTGGATGGGGTTCAAGTTCGGGTATAAAAAAATTTAATGAACAAAGTATAAAAATTTTCAATCCGACAAGCTCTACTAGTAGTTCATATAAGAAAGAAAAAGAACAGAAAAGTTGACCTCACAATACAAGTATAACGTCGACATCCATGTTTTAAAATAAAAAAAAAAAAAACTCGATCAAGAGGAAAGGTTACGCCAGGTTTTTTTTCCTTCGTGCATATCAATGTAATATTTCTATCGTTCTTTTTCGTTTTGCTTCATTAAAATACAGGTGAATATGTCTTTTTCGCATAGACGTAATTAAGCTTTTGATCATTATAAATAATATCATTGAATAAGATTTTTCGACAAAAAAAATCTTTTATTTAATTTCGCTTATCTTAGACATTTGTTCATATAAAATAAGAAATGAAATTCTATTTTTCGTCTATCCTGTCTATTCAAAAATATTAACATTTTCTTTAGTAGAAAAACTTTTATTTATAATAAACATACATTTATTAATTAGGAATAAAAAAAATTTAAAAAAATCTATCTATCTATACGTTTTTTTTAGTTAAAATGGTTTTAGAAATTACTGAAAAATGTTTTAATTCGATTAATTTGTTGTAAGACATGACGATTGCATATAAACATATAAAGGACAATCAATTTTTTGTTTTCGATCATTTGAATAATCCGAATTTTTCGTTAATAAAGAATACTTGATCTTTATCTGAGATTGTATTATTATAGTCAAAACTCTATGAAACAGATATTTATTCGAATATCGATCTAATAAGACAAATGTGTTGTTAGAAGCCATTATAAACTAATCATTATGAAAAAATTGATTGTTAGATAATGAGTTCGAAGAATTGATGTCTATTCTTAGATATAAATTCAATAATTGTTCATGATTAAATATCGAATATAAAGAAAAGCAGAGTTCTTCTCGAACTCTTTTATACTTTCGTTTCTTGCTCAAAAATAAGTTCATCTGTTTTCGTTCGTACATATCTTGAAGGCGTGAGTGTGGATTTGAGCTTTCTTGCCAATCATGCCCACCGCCTTACGTCTATGTCCAACTTATTGGAAATCTTTAGTCTAATCTTTTCCCAATGTTTTTTTTAAAACTTCTTACTGAGTATTCGTGGTAAGCTTGGATCTATTTGCATATGTCTTATAGATTTTTCTAGTCTTCTAAGAATATAAAAATGACACAAATTTATTCTATAGACTTTTCACTGATATTACACATTTGTGATGAAAGCTGTCCCTTAGGTATCATGTTTTCATTTTAACATGCATCCTCAAGATCATATTACTATCTTCAGAAATCTAATCGACTTTGTTAACAACTAAATATTTATATTATTCAAATTTGATGAGCTTGTTCAAGAATCGTAGGCATTTTATTGAATTATGTCACTGGATCCATAACTATAAATAATATTAACTAAGATCAACTGCGCAGTATTTTCTTTCATGAAAAAAAGAAAGAAATCGATTTTATCTATTTTCAATAAAAACAAACAATTTCACTTCATTGCTTTGTAATTATCTTGAATATTCTTTTCTTAAAGAGAGAAAAGTCACATTGGTGAAAGTAAAATATCATCTGCGCGTAATGTCATGAGCTAGCAATAGAATTATTAATTATTAGAATATTTTAAAACTAGTTATATGATTTTATAATTACCCTCACGTGTGTATTGATTTTGAGATATTTTTCTACTCCAGATGAATACCCTACTACCAGTATCTCACAGATAATTTCAGCATTTGGGTTAAGGAGGAAACAGCTGATTTTTTTATTTGAAATCAAAAAGAATCAAGAAATCAATTAAAATCATAGACGTTTTTATCTCTGTTGTCCGAAAGATCGATTATTTTATCATAATATTCAATTGTATAAAGTTCATACTCTGCTTTCAAGACTTCGTACCGTTTTAAAAATATAAAAAGTCATAAGATAAAAATCGGATGCAAAAAAGTTAGAAGCTTAATGAAATTAGGAAGTTTAAAAGGTCTAATCGCTTATATCGAACAAAAAGAATCTATAATATTAAAGTTTAGTAAACATTTTATGACATCAAAAAAGCCTATTATCAAAATAACCTATTTTCTAATTTCGTCAGCGAATAAGTCAAATAACAAGAAGATTTACTTGAATTTGAAGAAGTCGATAGTGGTGATATTTATTTGATTTGTAACTATGTTCTTGTTAGTTTCATTTGGTTATTTGATTGAACTTTTAACTAAGAAGAGAAACGAAACAGCACGAATCATAAGGAAAGGTAAGACTATGTATTTCTCTTCCAATTTTTCTGTAACTATCACAACTATTACCGAAAACACTACAATAACGTAGAAGTTGTATTATTTCACCTATGAACCAATGAATTGAAAAGAACAAGCAGACGCTTGGTAGCGATAATTTAAGACTTGCTGACGAGATAGACTGCAGTATCAATATTACCGTCAATTCCGATACAGCTATTGTTCGATGTTTTTGTAGATTTATATCGATCTTAAAATTAGTTCATATAAATTATCAGATAGATGTGTCGATTCGAATCTTTATAGTTCTCTCATGACGAAACGCCATACTTCTTAGCAATTTCACATTAAAATTTAAACTAGCTGAAAACTTTATATTTCGTAGGCATTTCTTGATACATATTTATTTACAAGTTTGCAAATATTCATGCTAGCCTAAGACGCTAGAAGAAAATACATCTTTAAATTGTAAATCTGTCAAATACTTAATTGATTTTTTCCTTATAACTGAATTTTTAGGCAACATTTATATTCAAGTTCAATCATAATAAAACTTGGAAATGCGCTTAGAGAACTGTAAAGCAGGTACTGTTCTGACGGGATCCAAAAAATCTCAATCGGTACTGAAACAGAAACTAAGACTAACTCTTCTTTTTTACACAACGTTTTTCATTTGAAATAGACTAGGGCAGATGAAAGTGTAAAGAAAGAAAGACTACAATCTTCAAGAACATAAGACAAATTTTATACAAGAAAGAATGAATTCATAAATGTGAAGCCTCGTATCTACTGAAAAATTTTGAGAAATGGTCAAAAAGAATTGGACAACAAAGAAACTTTAATTGAGACTCAGATTGAACTTGTGACCAAAAACATGTAGTACCACAGTTTCCTAAATATGATTCTTTGATAAATTAATTTTGAAAACATTCTCGTCCAGACTATGTGTTTGATGTTTTAGTTTGATGTTTAAATTCGAGTAATCCCCTCCCCTCCGTCCCTTAGAATAAAAAGCCTTGGCATTCTGTTATGGAAATTCACATCACTCTTCCAAAAGTGACTCTCTATTGAGGTTTAGTTTTTTGTCAGAATTTAAACTAGAAAACTGAAGGTTTTTGAAAAAGTTTTCTTACATTTAAACAGGCAATTTTAAGAACAAAACCTTGGATTTTCAGTGCTGAGATTTCAAAAATCACTTAGCTTCCAAATAATACTTTCGGAAAGCTTATAGCCTTCTATTACGTCTTGCGAAATTTTTCTTGTAGTGGCTTCTTAATATGGGATGATCCTCTATTCTACGGAAATGAAAATTTAGTCGATTTCGAGAACACGAATCTGCTGTATTTTTTCTCTTACAGTGGCTGAATCGAATTCTAGTTTATCTTTCTCAATTGAACTATCAAATGTACAAGCATGGAATATTCAGATAAAATATTGTGACTTCTGACTTTCCATATTTGAATGTCACAGATTTTCGAGCAGACAAATCTATTTTTAATTGCAGCATTCATAAGTAATAGAAGTCTCGATAAGTAAACGATATTCTGTGTGTATTTGAAATAAGAAAGAGAAACTTATGATTTTGTTAAATTTTTAATCAATTTTAAATTAAAAAAACTCAACAGAAAAATCTGATTTCAGCTGTTTCCCTCTTGCTTTACACACATTTTCAGATATTTTTCTCTGCCCAGTATGTGCGCTAAATGGGGAAAAACGCTTTGTGTCTCAGCTATGTCTATTGCAAAAAAAATCCCGATTGCATACGACTATTTACTAGGATCATATGATATGTAAGCAAGCCGTGAATCGTCATAATAGTTGATGCAGAAATACATTCATAACGAAGTTAGTTGATGACTCCTATATAACTTCTATGCAAAAAAGACATTTTTGTTTACGATTCACTTTATGCCACTAAATAGTTTCAAAACTGCAACTTTACACAGTAAACAGACTATATATTTTCATAGTAATGTGTGCGGTAACACAGTATTAACTACGATATTGTATTTTTAGCAAACGATGATGTATGCGCCATCAAATCAATTCGACATCGTTGTATTTCTCCATCGAGTATGCTAACGGGATGCGACCCGCTTACGACACATACTTGTATGTAGGGGCGATTTTTTCTCGATAGGTATATATTAGAGAGAACAGAAAAAAGAGAAGA